AAACTTGAATCCCTCTTGAATTCTTCATCAATAACTACACATTTATTGTAGCGGGAAGTTCTGAAAAGGAAATTGTGAAAGTTGACATTATGGCTGAACAGTCGATGGATCTGCGTAACTATATGGTTCGTCATTTCTACAATCCTAAATGGGTAAGAGTAAAAACTTAGTGTTCGAATTTGATTTTGTCGCATTGTAATCACTGGGGAGTGCGTGGTAATTATGTTCTGATAATATACATGTGAATGTAAGAAAAAAGACAAGTTCAATGTCGAGTCCGATGTCCATTGACACTTATTTTCAAACCTTTCATTCCCATGTATTGCATAAACTTGAGTTGATTTAGTAAAAAAACATGTCTTATAATATTCTTTGTCTTCGTTTTTCAGTAGTAATCATTGGAAGTATCAATTTCGATTTTTGATTAAAGGACTGATTTTTTTTTCGAATGCTTAATTTCTTTATTATGGAAAAGTATTATTAAAAAGTCGATTAAAGGGTTAGGGCCGACTTATGGTATTTTGAATTACTTAATTATTGAAATGAAATAGAAAATGCTAATTTTATTACACAACTAGCTGTGGCATTGGCAATGTGAAACATGAGAATTAGTGGAAAAACATTTCTGTTAAATAGTACATGTACATACTGATGAGGTTGATTCCACAAAGTAGTATACATTTTTTTTAAATGAGCTCATTAATTATGCAAATTGTATGTGTAGGTCATTATTTTTTTTCCATTTGACAACTTTTTGTTAATCATTTCTTTTTAATTATTCAATGTGAGATAATATATCAAAATATTTATTCAATACATCGGACTGTATGTAGTACTAGTAAAATCGATTCACACAAGATATAGAGCCATACATGAGCGTATAAGTTTATTATAAGTAAAATATGTGTATGTAATTGCGTTACTTTTTGTAACCTCTATGTTAAATTTGTGTATTTGTATATATTTGAATAGGAAGAGATGAAATACAATTTTTTGAAGACCATAGATGAGATGCTTGCAGCTTTTTCTAAATTTCTTGGTGATAACGATTGGTATGCAGGAAAAAATGTAGGTTTTAAATTCCCGTTGTGTTAGATACTCGCTATTTGAGACAGCGTTGAACATCACAAAGAAATAAACATTTATATTTAGTTTTTAATGGTCTACTGTTAGTTATTTACTTTCCATCATACTGCATATTACATATCATGTGCGTCATGACGTGTATTTTTAAACTCCGTTCCTTTGATTATTCTGTGTATAATTAAAACATTATAATAAGAAGAAACACGTAGCAATGTAGATATGTCAAAATGTTGGTCGTTTAATTTGAATGTAATAGTATTATGCGCCATTAAATAATAAGGCAAAATCATTATGAACGTCTTTGGATTGGGGTTGTAGTTGGGATTTAGA